GAAGCAAGTTGTTCAGTTTCCATGTGTGTATAGGCCTTTTGCTATTTTTGTCATTGAGGTCCAGTTTTAGTCCATGGTGATCAGATAGGATACAAGGAATTATTTCAATCTTCTTGTATATGTTTAGGCTTGCTTTGTGACCAACTATATGGTCTATTTTGGAGAAGGTTCTATGAGGTGCTGAGAAGAAGGTATATTCTTTTGAGTTTGGGTGAAAAGTTCTGTAGACATCTATTAGGTCCATTTGGATTAGGACCTCTGTACGTGCCTTTATTTCCCTATTTGGCTTCTGTCTAGATGATCTGTCCCTTGGTGAGAGTGGAGTGTTTAACAAAACAGATACTCCTAGAATAAGACAATAAACACTTGAGGAAATCCAGAACATGGGAAACAAAAGTGTTGAGAGCTTTGATTTATTCCCCATGAAAGGCATGCTCATTTTAGACTGGAGAAACAAGCATGAGAGTAATATGAAGCATATGTATGAATCCTGTTGAAAATATATTAATAAGGTTGATGAATATGATCATTAAAGGTAGTTTATGTGTCTGTCATACAATGCAGTTGAGTCTGTTCATGCAGACAACCAGAGAAATGGAGAATGTTATCTATTATCTTCTCTCTTATTAGAAGCTAAAAAGACACAGGCCAATGGGCATAATGAATAATTAACCCCAAATTTTCAGCACATGTCAGCACTCTATCCAGGGCCTGTTGAGCACCAAGGAATACTTCATTTGGTTGTCGATGGCCATACAGTGATCGTCTACAGCTAAAACAATGGTTAACGCCATAAAATAAATGTATGGAGCACTGAGTTAGAGAATACAAAGAAATGCACTTAGAAGTTCATAGAATTTAGTCACAATAGCTCCAGCACTGAGAATGGCTTTCACACAGAGACCCACGCTATTTCTGTTTGTCTAGACACAAAGTACCTGATCTGACGCAGAGATGAGTCTGCATTGACAGCATGGATGGGAGGGAGTTTCCCAGGACTCCTGCTATGAGAATACACAATGATGGAGAGCCAGTGGTGTCAACAGGCACTTGGAAGAGATAGAACTGGTATATGAAAATCCCTATATGTTGTCAGAGGGCACCAGCTCTGGCCTTCAGCTCCTCTCCCATCTGTCTTCCTAACTCTCCTCCCAGAGCTGCTACTCACATTTCTCCTCTTTCACCTATTTCCATTTGGTGCTGAATATTTGATCAGGAAGTCACAGGAGTTGCTGGGGTATTCCAACAGTGAAGTGTGCTCCCAACCAAATCTGTCTGTTTTGATTTGCAATGAAGATTTTTGCTCATAAGAATTAATAAAGGATGTTTGACTCATTTACCAGAACATTCTAAGTCTTGGATATCTCAGACTATGATGAAAACAATGACCTGGAAGTTTGGTGGATAGGGAAGTAATGGATGAGAAAGATTTAGAGGAGTTGCTGGTGAAAGTTGGTAGTTGATCTTAGATTAGAACAATGAGGGATTTGCAGTGGCCAGTGGCACTGGCTGATGACCATAAGTAGTGTTGATGTATCACATACTTTAATTTGGTAGAGAATTCATTTGTCATTATTTTTATCTATCAATTTTTGTTTGTGTATATTACTTAACTAAACTGATGGACTTAATTAGGACATTTTTTATTTGTACAAGGTATGTTGATTATATTACCTTACATTCTCTTCCCATTTCCTCTTCTTCTGTGGATACCTCTTGTCCTTATCACTCAGTTTTTTTCTTCCTTCATATTGCTTCCCATTTTGTTTCCACATTAGATAAAACATCCAATTCTTGTCTTTCAGAGGCTGAACTACTTCGTTTACCAAGATGGCCTCCAGTTTCTCCTGCAGATAGTAGAATTTATTATTGCTCTAAAATTGTGAGACGCTGCACTTAACTTTATTAATAGTTGACTGATCTGAAATTATGATATCTTAATTTAAATTTAAATTGAAAAATTTAAATATAAATGAGTTATTTGATAAGAGTTTCTCTTTTAGATTGTTTAAGCCATGGCCATTTTCTTCCTGCAAAATAGGAATGATGAACTGGATGTTGTAGCACATGCCTGTAATCCCAGTACTCAGTAGGCAGAGGCAGGCGGATCTCTGTGAGTTCGAGGCCAGCCTGGTCTACACAAAGAGTCCAGGACAGCCAAGGCTACACAGAGAAACTCAGTCTTGAAGAACTAAGAAAAAAAAAAAAAGATTTAGTGTCCCATGGCTACAAATAAGATTTAGTGGTTAAACATTCTTGGTGTTTACAAGTATTTGTGTTCCCCTATAAACCTTACCAGCTTGTTCCCATTCTCAGAAGTGTGTTTTTACACTAATACACTATGTCAATTTGTATTTACACAGTTTAGTAGTTAAATATTTTAAATAAAAATATATACCTGTATGCATGTACGCATTTTTGTAAGCAAGATTCACCGAGAACTTGTATACTATCAGGTAGAAATTAGGTGGCTTATATTCAGGGACAGTGACTCTGCCTGCTCTGGAACAAAGATCTTACACTGACGTCCAAGGAAGAGGATTTGAAGCTGAATGTACTGATTACATTACTGTTTCTACCTTATAAAAATAAATAACAAATTACTCTAAAATTTACTGTTCAGTATACGGTAGCCAGGATGATAAAGCGTATCTTAGTACTTAGGGCATCCTAAGTGAATTACATCTTATTTTAGAGTAGCGTACACATGAAATCTAGAAAGTTAGATATGCTTGAAGCTTTATTTTTAATGATTTCTATTTGACAAGGGCTGTAATGTCATGTCTTAATGAGATTGAGATGTATCTGCTTTATGTAGCTGCCATCTTGAAATGCTAACTTCCCAATTGGTTCAACCTAAACAGGTAGAAGTCGTTAGGTAGTTTAGAAGCAAGAAGACAAAACTTCAAAATTAGCTTTCTCTGTGCCTGCCATACAGCTAGAATATAACATTTTTAATATTCAAATCTAATTACACTTGAAACAGATCCATACTGTTTCTGTGATCCCCCACTATCTCTGTGTCATTCTGAATTCAGTCAGAATATGCAAGAATCACTATTATTTAACTTAATGACTCATTTACTTTAAAATACCATAAAGATATTACAATTTCAGATCAACTCAAAGGTTAATAAATGTATGTATAGCATGTATGTATAGCATCATATTGATCAATACTGGATAAAATATGAGATGATTAAATTCTTAAAATGAACAATTTTCCTGCCCAGGTCCCTCTCTTTATCCACTTCTGCTGTCTGCTCTCTTTCCCCTTCTGAGCGGTGTTCCGGCAGCCTCCCTTCCACTATCCTTGTTACTTAGTTCCTTTGGATCTATGGATTGTAGCATGGTTATCCTGGACTATTATAGGTAGATTAATATCTGCTTATAAGTGAATACATTCCATGTGCTTCTTTCTGGGACTGGGTTACTTCATTCAGGATGTTCTTTTTCTTGTTCTGTTCATTTGCCTGCAAAAATTCATTTCTTTTTTTTTATTTGCTGATTAGTACTCCATTGTGTCAATGTACCATAATTTCTATATTCATTCTTCAGTTGAAGGAAATCTAGGCTGTTTCCAGTTTCTGAATATTACAAATAAAGCCACTATTAACATAGTTGAGCAGCTGTCCTTGTTGTATGGTGGAGCATATTTTGGGACTCTGCCCAGGAGTGGTACAATATGGGTCTTCAGGAAGAACTATTCCTAATTGTCTGAGAAAGTGCCAGATTGATTTCTGGAGTGATTGTACAAGTTTGCACTCCCACCAGCAATAGAGAAGTGTTCCCTTTTTTCCCCATCCTTGCCAGCATGTATTGTCATTTGAGTTGTTGATCTTAGCCATTCTATTTTTTAAAATTTATTTCTAGTATCCACTTACAAGTGAATATATACCATGTGTGTCTCTCTGCTTTTGGGATACTTCAGTCAGGATGGTCTTTTCTAGGTCACACCATTTGCCTGCAAATTTCGTGATTTCCTTGTTTTTAATTGCTGAGTAGTAGTCCATTGTGTAAATGTACCACAATTTCTATGTCCATTCCTCTGAACACCTAAAGAAGCTAAACAAGAAGGAGGACCCAGGGTAAGATGACCAATCTTCACTTAGAAAGACAAATGGGATGGACATTGGAAGTAGAAGAAAACAAGTAATAGGACAGGAGCCTACCACAGAGGGCCTCTGAAAGACTACCTAGCAATGTATCAAAGCAGATGCTGAACTCATGGCCAAACTTTGGGCAAAGTGCAGGGAATCTTATGAAAGAAGAGGGAGTTAGTAAGACCTGGAGAGGAAAAGAGCTCCACAAGGACCAAAAATATCTGGGCCCAGGGGCTATGTCCAAGTGGGTTCTCTACTAAGGGGAACAGGGACTGTCTCTGACATGAACTAAGTGGCTGGCTCTTTGACCTCCCCACTCCCCATGGGAGAAGCAGGCTAGCTAGGCCACAGAGGAGGACATTGCTGCCAGTCCTGGTGATAAGCTAGGGTCAGATGGAAGGGAAGGAACAGTACCTAATGAAGAAGCCTGCAGGAAACCATCACAGTGTTGTCTTCACAGTAAGCAGAACTTCTCATTTCACTGTTGGTTATCATACTCCATCAGAACGTGACTGACTAAACAAGTAATAGGGCTCATAGGGGCATGCGCACACACACACACACACACACACACACAGAGAGAGAGAGAGATAGAGAGAGAGAGAGAGACAGAGACACAGAGACACAGAGAGAAAGAGAGACAGAGAAAGAGAGACAGAGAGACAGAGAGACAAAAAGAGAGAGACAGAGGGAGACAAGTTCACATAGAGAGAGACAGAGACAGTCAGAGACAGAGAAGACCTAATACCATACTGTTCAGAAATGCTTGTTACTTTTCCGCTTTTCGCAGCAAATTTTGAGGGCTTTTCCTGGTTTAACGCTTTCACATATCTGTATAATGTATGTTAGTCATGTTCACCCTCATTCCCCTTTCTCATGCT